ACATTTCCCATTCGCGTCTTCACCACGTAGACAAATTTCAGTACCGGTGGTGACACCAGTAGGAGACAGTGGCGGATCCAGGGAGGCGGGGTGCCCGCCGACCCCCCCCCCCCCCCCCCTGGCAAAAAAAAAGAAGGAAAAAAGGGGAGGGGGGAGGGGGAAAGGGGGGAGGAAAAAAGGGTGGGAAAAAAAAGAAGGAAAAAAAAGGAAATAAAAGGGTAAAGATATAAAAGGTATCAAAATATGCTTATCTAACCGTAATTAAATGCCTAAAACTCCTTGACTTCCGGTGGCTCTGCCCCCTGGACCCCACGTAGGGACTTAAGGCGGACGGCTGGATGCTAATCTGACGGTAATTTAATGCTTAAAACCACTGAGCTTCTGGGGTCTCGGCCCCCTGGACCTCGACACGCCTATTAGTCCTGCCAGTGTCACAAATAAGGTATCAAAATATGTTCATCTGACCTTAATTAAATGTCTAAAACCCCTAAGTTTCCGGGGCTCCACCCCCTCGACCCCACCAGTGGCCCTAAGGCGGCCCCTGCATGCTTGTCTGACCGTTATACAATTCCCAAAACCCCTGAGCTTCTGGGGGCTCCGCCCCCTAGACCAAACACCAATTTTTGTCCTGCCAGTGTCACAAATAGATATAAAAATACACTCATCTGACCGTTATTTATTGCCCCAAGCCCCTGAGCTTCCGGGGGCTCAGTCCCCTGGACCCTAAACCAATTCGTGACCTGCCAGGGTCACAAATAAGGTATAAAATATGCACATCTGACGATAATTTAATGTATACAACCCCTGAGCTTCTGGGGGCTCCGCCCCCTGGACCCAACATGAATTTGTGTCCTGCAAGTGTCAAAAATAAGGTATAAAAATATGCTCATCTGACCGTTATTTATTGCCCAAAACCCCTGAGCTGAACCCCACGCCAATTCGTGATCTGCCAGTGTCACAAATAAGGTATAAAATTATGCTCATCCGACGATAATTTGATGTATAGAACCCCTGAGCTTCTGAGGGCTCCGCCCTGGGAAAAAAAACATGTAAAAATACGTTAATTTTACCTTTTTGGGAGATATACCCCCCCCCCCCTCCCACTGAACGAAATATTGGCCGGCACACTAAATTTCTAATTTGGACCCCCACCTCTAAGAAATCCTGGATCCGCGCCTGGTAGGAGTACCCCCCCCCCCCCTTCCAATTTCTTTCTTTAACTATGATTTTCTTTCCCTGGAACGTTCCTGATCATGAGCTTTCATGAGACATTATTTATGAAAAGGGTCAACCTATAAAACCCGTTGAAAGTATTGGTATACCATCTCATAAGGATATCTCTCCTTTCCTATCTGTGGCGTATCAGGGGAGAATAGTCCCGGGGCTAGCAGAAAAATTTATAATGTAATCAGGCGCAGATCCAGGGGGGGGGCCGAGCGGGCCTTGGCCCCCCCCCCCCCCCCCCCCCGCAAAAAAAAAAAAGAGAGAAGAAGGAAAAGAAGGGAGAAAGGGAAAAAGGAGAAAAAGGGAAAGAAAGAAGAGGAAGAAGAAAAGTAAAGGGGGAAGAAGGAGATCGGGGGGGGGGCGAAAGGGCCTTGCCTCCCAGGCTGTTAACCCCCCCCCCCCCCCCAAAAAAAATAAGAGAGAAGGAAGGAAAGGGAAAGAAAAAAAAGGAAAAGAGGAGATACTGGCGTACTGATAGAGGGGGGGGGGGCTTGGGGGAAATCAAATTCAAACGTGGTTTATTTCTGATTCCACAACGGTGTATTACAAATAATGCTGAAATGACATAATTTCCGAAATTTTTCCTCACTTTTTAGTAAATTATACGTTTGTATGTGTTTGTTGGAAAATAAAAAAATTCCTAAATTTACAACCAGGCAAAAAATATGATTCTTGAGATTCCTACATGTCAGGGCCCGAGGTACGGCGGGGATCGAGAGCCTCGAGGCATCAAAATATGCTCATCTGACCGTGATTAAATGCCTAAAACCCCTAAGCTTCCGGGGGCTTTGCCCCCTGGATTCCATCTAGGGCCCTACGGCGGGCCCTTAGATGATCATCTGACGGTAATTTAATGCCTAAAACCCCTGATTTTTTGGGGCTCCGCCCCCTGAACCCCACGCCAAATAGTGACTTGCCAGTGTCACAAAATAATAAGGTATACACAAAAATATGCTCATCTGACCTTAATTAAACGCCTAAAACCCCTGAGCTTCCGGGGCCGGCTCCGCCGCCTCGACCCCACCTCTTTGAAATTCAGACAAGGATTAAAGAGTATAGAGAACGGTACAACGCATCGTTTTCTTTCTCTAATAATAAAACGTCAAAGCCTCGCGCAGGAGGGGAGGAGGGGGGGGGGGGGGGACTGAATTGAGACGAGGATTCAGAGGCGAGAACGGTAATACGAATCGTTAATTATTTGATGAAACGTAAAAGCTTATGCGCTTTGCGCGGGATTGAGGGGGAACTAAATTCCGATGAGGATTATTTTCGAGAACGGTACAATGAATCGTCTTCTTCTCTAATGATTAAATGAAACGTAAAAGCTTCCGCGCTTCGCACGGGAGGGGGGGGGAACTGAATTCAGACGAGGATTAAGAGTCAAGAACTGTACAACAAATCGTCTTCTTTCTCTAATGATTTAATGAAACGTAGAAGCTTCCGCGCTTCGCGCAGGAGGGGGAGGGGGAGGAACTGAATTTAGACAAGGATTAAGAGTCGAGAACGGTACAACGAATCGTCTTCTTTCTTTAATAGTTTAATAAAACGTCAAAGCTTCCGCGCTTCGCGCAGGAGGGGGGAGGGGGAGGAACTGAATTTAGACAAGGATTAATAGTCGAGAACTGTACAATGAATCGTCTTCTTCTCTAATGATTAAATGAAACGTAAAAGCTTCCGCGCTTCGCACGGGAGGGGGGGGGGGAATGAATTCAGACGAGGATTTAGAGTCGAGAACTGTACAACAAATCGTCTTCTTTCTCTAATGATTTAATGAAACGTAGAAGCTTCCGCGCTTCGCGCAAGAGGGGGAGGGGGAGGAACTGAATTTAGACAAGGATTAAGAGTCGAGAACTGTACAACGAATCGTCTTCTTCTCTAATGATTAAATGAAGATTAAAAGCTTCCGCGCTTCGGGCGGGAGGGGGGGGAACTGAAATCAGACGAGGATAAAGGGTCGAGAACGGTACAACGAATCGTCTTCTTTCTCTAATGATTTAATGAAACGTAGAAGCTTCCGCGCTTCGCGCAGGAGGGGGAGGGGGAGGAACTGAATTTAGACAAGGATTAAGAGTCGAGAACAGTACAACGACTCGTCTTCTTCTCTAATGATTAAATGAAGATTAAAAGCTTCCGCGCTTCGCGCGGGAGGGGGGGGGAACTGAAATCAGACGAGGATAAAGGGTCGAGAACGGTACAACGAATCGTCTTCTTTCTTTAATAGTTTAATAAAACGTCAAAGCTTCCGCGCTTCGCGCAGGAGTGGGAGGGGGGGGACTGAATTTAGACAAGGATTAAGAGTCGAGAACTGTACAACGAATCGTCTTCTTTCTCTAATAATTTAATAAATCGTAAAATTTTCCGCGCTTCGCGCGGGAGGGAAAAACTAAATTCAAATGAGAATTATTTTCGAGAACGGTACAACGAATCGTCTTCTTTCTTTAATAATTTAATAAAACGTCAAAGCTTCCGCGCTTCGCGCAGGAGGGGGAGGGGGGCTGAATTTAGACAAGGATTAAGAGTCGAGAACTGTACAACGAATCGTCTTCTTTCTCTAATAATTTAATAAATCGTAAAAGCCTGGGAGGGGGAAACTCGCCCCCCCCCCCGCATTACGCCACTGTTGGTCACCATAACGTACCAATATTTGGCTCGCATAATTTCAAATTGGGGCCCCCCCCCCCCCCTAAGAAATCCTGGATCCGCGCCTGAATGTAATTCCGTAATTTTGTTAACAACGTAGCTAATTTATCAAGCTCAAGAAAATAATGATAACCTAGTAGCACACTTATTTATGATGCAATTTATTCTGGTTGAGGATGTTTCTAATATAGTCACGAATAAATTATTCATTACTAAAAGCTATTTATTGGGGGATTTTCCGTTGGTAAATGAAGAAAAAAAAAAGAATATAGCAAAGAAAACATTACCATTTACGGAATCCGATGTAATCCGTTTCCCTCCCCGCCAGTTAAAAATAGATTTGTATCCGATCCATGGTGACTGCCCCCGCCTCCACTCCCATTCTCTCTCTCCCTCCCTCTCTTCCCCTCTCTTCTCCCCTCTCTCCACCTCCCTACATATTCACTCGATATCTATTTACCCGTACTTGCACTATTTGACATATTTAATTTTCAAAACAAAAACTAATGCATATCAATGGCCCAAGATGAGACTTTCATTAGATGCAGTTTAGTGAGAATAAGCCAGTTTGAAGAAAAAAAAGGATTTTGATGCCAGACAAAACAAAACCATTTAAATTATATATAACCAACGACCAACTGACCTTTAACAATAGTACTCGACCATCTGGATCTCTTTGCTATTATAAGGTTTCATTTAACATCTTCACATTGTCATGATAACAGGTAATAAAGTTGATCCCCAAAAAACAAGTATTGAAAAAGGGACAAAATCAGGGTTTTTTTTCTCCAAGAATCATAATTCTGAGTTAAGAAAGAATCAATGTTAATGTACATAGATATCACTCTATAAGATAATTCATATCTTTGGGGGCATTGTTAATAGTAAATGTGGTTTCTATAATTTAATCTTTTAATCAGCACCTCCATTTGCTGTTCTCGTGTGTATGTTACTGTCTTCTCTTTCTTTCTCCTCCCCCTCTCCTCTCCTCTCTCTCTCTCTCTCTCTCAGATTACTGCACCCCCTACTGCCAATCTCTTCATCAGACTATATTTGCCATTCTCGATCTTCATGTTGCTTGTCATTTGTACTGCCCAACTGATATGGAACAAAACAGGAAGTTTTGATAATTGGTATTCTGTTAATCTCTATCGTATTTATTATTGACAAACTTAATGATAAGCATGTTAAAACACACATAGATACATCAACAGGTAAAAAAAGGGGAACTCTTGGGAATACAAGTATTTGATGCACTCTTGTCTATTAATTAAGTGTACTTTATATTACAATTTAAATTGTTCTAATTTGCCCACCAAATGTCAAATACAGATTAAAGAAGAGGTAAAACTTATAATGAATATGTGCAACTTTAAAGAAAATATCTCATCTAGATGATCTAGTCACTTCACATTCCATCAGAAAAAACATATATGCTTCTCTCCAATGCTTTTGTGTGACAGTGGTATATCACTTTGTTTAGATACCTTCAAAAAAATTGACCTCTCTCTAAATATTTGATCACTATGCATGATTTTGTTGGAACCCTTTTAATTTATATTTTCTGGTATTTCTGCTATAACTTGGGTAAAGTTTTGCACTTGAGGTGAAAAAGCAGCTTGCAATTACTCCCAGACCACAAGACACTTGCTTCCCCCTGCCTTTCCAAAGTGGCTTGCCCCTGAAACTGACAACGAATATAACAGTTCTGTGCTAGGGTGATAAGAGTGCAGGAGAGGGGGGGGGGGGGGGGAGGGGTGGTATCTGATATGAATTAAACATAGTAATGAAAATAGATTTAAAAAATGAATAAAAAATATACTTTTTTTAAATTCCCATATCATTGAAGAGCATCAGGATAATTTGGAATTTCCTTTTCTTATCATTTTTCAATTATCATTTGCATTTGTTCTGATATAACTTCACATTTTATGATTGTAATGTATACTGGTACACCTCATTATTATTTATAATTTAGTTCAAGCTGTGAAATGTCCTTTGTCATTCATAAACCAATGGAAGAAGTATCTCTGTTACAATGACAGATAAATCAATGAATTAAAAAAAAAATGTAGAATTCAAGTATTCATGTATTCATGGCCTGAGAATGTCTCTAGTCTAGTTACATATGGCCTTAACACGATAGCAACTTCTTTTGAAAACTCAACATAACAAAATTCAATAGCCTAGTACATCACCTATCGAAAGTTGCGAACATGACAATGACTTATTTATTATTTTTTCCAAACATGATTCTATAGGACATACAATAAGGTATTGAAATACTCTTGAGCCAATTCTTTTTCAAATAGTTGCGATTCCTTGATGTTGGTATTAGTAACCTCAATCAGTTGTCATATTTCTTTGAGTTTTACAGTTGAGGAAGTGTGGCTTAGCAAATATGCTTAGCAAGGCTCAACACTACTCTTCATGTAGGGGGTCTGTAATGAATGAGCCCATACTGACTCCACAGTAAACTTCTGCAATTTTTGGAGGTTCAGAGTCTGAATTTAAGAACCTGTCTTCCAGGCGATTGTAAGTGTCAAGCCCTGACCATCATTTTTTCAAAGACCAAGCCAATGTCCTCTTCATAACAAGTACCGGTAAGAGAAAAAAAATAACATGAATCATATCATCTTCAAGATTCCTGCTCTCTCATTCATGGTAGGAGTAGAGTGATGCAAATGTAAGATAGCCAGTATGTCCTGGTGTCTCTCTTGGAGCTAATGCACATTTCTTTGGATATGAACAATCTCCTGTGGAGCTCTGTGATCCTGGCTCTTCAAATGAATAATTCGCTCCGAGGTCAACTAGACGTGCTCCACCATCTGTCATTTCAAAAGTGTCCTCATCCGCTTTGTGGTCTGTGATGTTTGGTGTAAGACAAGGCTGTCCTAAGTTAGGAAGGGTAAGGTTGACTGTCCTCACTTCATGCGTGCGCATTAGACACTCGACAGTCTTGATATCAGAGAACCCAAGTTGGTCTAGTTCAAGGCACACTCGTTGCACTTGCTCAATGCACGGTGAAAAGGAACATAGCCTACCACCTGAGGGAATAGAGGGTAAGAGAGAGAGAGAGAGAGAGAGAGAGAGAGAGAGAGAGGGAGAAAGAGAGAGAGGGGAGAGAGACACACACATAGAGATAAAGAGAGACAAAGAGAAAGACAAGTGTATGGATTTTAATGAAGAATGGAGAGACATAAGACACAAAATATTACACTTAAACTTTAAAGGGAGATGGTAGTTAGTTTCCAGGTGCAGCAGATCATAATTTGCTGACACCAGTCTCGGTGGAAATACCATTAATAGGTGTACAAGTCTTGCACATAGCAAATCTGTGGTCTCATCAAGAAATACCTCCTATGGGTGAGGGAAATGCAAGATAATGAATTTTCCATGTTGGGGGATTGCTGGAAAATACCTATAACAAATAGACTAAGATCATATTTTTGTTCAAACAATTATTGTCTTTTATTATGCTTCTTCAAACTTTCCATCATAACTATTTATTGGCTCTTTGAACTTTTGAAGTATTTGGGAGGGAGAAAGCACATGCCTGCGAGGTAATTATTCACATAAATGTGTATAACATTGGAAATCTCATCAAAACAGCTACTTCAATAACATTATCAGAACACAAGACGAGTTGCAATGTTTTATTTTGTCCATACCTGATGATTTCAGGACCTTCTTGGCATGAGGAACGACATTCCACGGGGATGGAAGATCAAGGAATACAGCATCAGCCACATAATCATTCTCCAACTGGAATCCATCCTGCAAAGGGTATACATAATTATTTTAAAGGCCATCTGTACTAGTTTGGCTAGGAGGATTAGACCACCCAGGGTGATCATTGACAGGTGGCTCATCAACTCAGCTCTCAGTTAACAAAAGAAAAAGATGATCATGGGGGACCAATAGTCACTGATTAGGCATTATTTTCTATATAGAGGAAGCAAGTAGCTACAAGTAGTACAGTGGGGCTTTAAACAAAAATTGTGTTGGCATTTTTAAATGAAATTTAATGGGTTTCATTGACTTTTAACAATCAGGGTAGTTTTCCAGTTTTGATAGTTGATTACCTGACTAACATCCCTGTGTGTTGCAGTGACAATGTGAGACAGTCCATGCTCTTTAAACTCATCTGCAGCTAACTGTGCCCTCTTCTCATGAAACTCAAAGGTGTATAGATGACCATCAGGAGCTATAGTTCTGGTCAGTGCATGAGAGACAGATCCACTGCCAGTTCCTATATTGATACAGAACAAGATTAAAAGAGAAATGTTAGGAACATTAATCTATTACATATTAGTACGATTACTGTAGTGTTAATATATATATATACTAGCAGGACCCGCGGAAATCCGCAGGATTCTAGAGGTGGGTGGGGGGGGGGGGGTGTAAATAGATATATAGAGACTGTCTAAATTAAAACCACCAAGAACTTTATTTGCCATTCAGGCCATTAAAAAAATATACATGTTTAGCGTCCCCGCCCGCTTCCTTTTTGGGGCCGCCTCCTATTTTTTTTTTTTTTTTTTGAAAGAAAAAAAAAACAGCGTGCTTCCTTTTGGGGGGCCGCCTTCTATTTTTTTTTTTTTTTTTTTTTTTTTTTTTTTTTTTTTTTTATTTATTAATTTTTTTTTGAAAGAAAAAAAACATGAAAAGCACTGCTAAAATGTATTTCTGATTTTTAAAAAGAAAAAAAAAAAAAATTGTCGGCCGCCATCTTGAAAAAAAACCCGAATGTCAGGGAAAATGTACGGAGCGGCCATTTTGAAAGAAAAAAAAAAAAGGGCCTCCTCCTTCCATTTTTCGAAAAAACAGGACGCTAAAAATGTTTTTTTTTTAATTTGGCCTTATATAAAAATTAAATAAACGATCCAACTGTACCGGTAATTATTCTTTAAGCCACTGGAACTGCGTAGAGTTCCATAGTGTGGCGTACCGACTACGCAGAAATTAGGCTGCGTATTAATGGGAAAATAGTCCCTGCGTAGGTTATGCGTAGGCTGGCGTACAGGTTGCTTAATGGTTGCTTACTGTGTGGAAAGCTTTTACTGCTTTGTCGATCTGGCGTAGGGTAGCGTACTGTTGCGTAGGCATGTAGCGTAGTGTTGCGTAAAAAGGCTGCTTTCTGCGTCAAGTTTCTACGCCGAAAGTACCAAAAAAAATTAAACATGTTGAATTGTTTTCTTTCATCTTGCGTACCCCTTTTCGTTCCTCAGCATATAGTAACGTAGGCCAGCGTAGTTTGTACGCAACACTACGCAACTCTACGTATTGACCCACGCCAATTAGTGACCCGCAAGTGTCACAAATAAAGTATTAAAAATATGCTCATCTGACCCTAATTAAACACCTAAAACCCCCGAGCTTTCGGGGGTTTATGGACCCTTGAAACCCGTGGACCCCACGCCTATATTATATATACACTCAACTCAGGACCCGCGGAAATCCGAGGGATTCTAGAGGGGGGCGCAGGCAAAAAATTAAGTTTTTCATTTCGGGGGCTCCATTTCAAATTTTTGGGAAATTTTCGGGACTACTTTTTCAACTTTCGGGGGCTCTTTTTTCTGGGGCTACTTTTTCATTAATTCATAAAAGGATAGGCCTACACTTTGTTGAGATTTGTTTAGTAGGCTAAGGACAGGTTCAGGCTTCCTATATACTTCATAATTGCCTATTTAAAAAAAAAACATTTTTCTGGTTCAATAACTAAGTTTTCATGCATTGATTTGATACAAGAACTGTAACATAATAGACCCTAGATTGTGATTATTTCTGACCATGAATTTCGATAATCATTTTTCAAAGTAAAATTTTCACAAGAAAATCAGACAGTCGTTTAAAAACGTAGACATTAGTAATACTTTACTAATTCTAAGATCAGGTTTCGTAAATCTATTCACGAAACTGTATTGAAATCGCGGCAATAATGATGCAAACCAACAGATAACAATTTTAAAGTGTCAAATCTCTTCGACTCGAGCTCAGCTCAGCCGAACTCACACATACACACACAGCGTAACTCCAGGAAGCTCGAACACCGGCGCCGCAGGCCTCGGACGCCTGCGGTGCGCAGAGCCGGTGTTGGAGCTTCCTGGAGTTAACTGCAGCTCACACACACTGCACAGCAGCACTGCACTGTGTGTTGACTGAAGGCAGCTTGCGACTGAATTGTCAGTCCAATGGTTTTCTTGTGAAAACTTTCCTTTATAAAATGATAATCAAAATTTAGTAGCATGGCCGTAATAATCACAAAATAAGCTTTGATTTCATACCTCCATTCATGAAAACTATATAAAAATCGCGGCAATAATGATGGAAATAGGTCCCTAAGTTTGGACGTGGACGGGAAGCTTCGTGTGTATCTCTGTGGCTTGTGCAGCTACTATACAAAGGATATCCTATAGAAAGATGCTTTACTCGGGTAAGCCCGACCCTGTGCGTCGTGCATTTAATACGCAACTTAATGTGAGTGGATGGTCATCGGTCGTGTGTCTACGGATGTAATGTTGAATATCCATGAGGTATCTCTGTCGTCACGCATATCCTGCATTATGCATATCGCGTCTGTTTTCGCCCTGGACGTCGACACGGAGGAGGAACTCGGGCGGAGTATAGCCAATTCCACAGAGTAGACTCTCCCGCGGACGATGGCACCGGGCACGGGTACCCGAGGGGAGGGTTCAGGAGGAGATAGCCGCACCAACTTCGGTCGGTGATCTCATTAAAAAACAAAGAATACAAAGGCTCGCCGAGACGTCGCGCCCCCCGCGGAGCCTTAGCGTATTACTTATATAGACTAGCAGGACCCGCGGAAATCCGCGGGATTGTAGACGGGGGCGGGGGTGTACATAGATAAATAGAGACTGTCTAAATTAAAACCACTAAGAACTTTATTTGCCATTCAGGCCATTAAAAAAAACATGTTTAGCGTCCCCGCCCCCCTCCTATTTTTTTTTTGTTTTTTTTTTGAAAGAAAAAAAACAGCGTCCCGTCCGCTTCATTTATTATTTTTATTTTTTTTGAATTTTTTTTTTTTGAATTTTTTTTTTTTTTTGAAAGAAAAAAACAATGAAAAGCACTGCTAAAATGTATTTCTGATTTAAAAAAAGAAAAAAAAAAATTGTCGGCCGCCATCTTGAAAAATACCCCGAATGTCAGGGAAAATGTACGGAGCGGCCATTTTGAAAGAAAAAAAAACAAACAGGGCCTCCTCCTTCCCATTTTACGAAAAAACAGGACGCTAAACATGTTTTTTTTTAAATTTGGCCTTATATAAAAAAAATTAAAAAAGATCCAACTGTAACGGTAGTTATTCTTTGAGCCACTGGAACTGCGTAGAGTTCCGTAGTGTGGCGTACCGATACGCAGAAATTAGGCTGCGTATTAATGGGAAAATAGTCCCTGCGTAGGTTATGCGAAGGCTGGTGTACAGGTTTGCTTATGGTTGCTTACTGTGTGGAAAGCTTTTACTGCTTTGTCGATCTGGCGCGTAGGGTAGCGTACTGTTGCGTAGTCATGTAGCGTAGTGTTGCGTAAAAAGACGTACTTTCTGCGTCAAGTTTCTACGCCGAAAGTACGCGAAAAAAATAAAACATGTTGAATTGTTTTCGTTCATCTTGCGTACCCCTTTCCGTCCCTCAGCATATAGTAACGTAGGCCAGCGTAATTGGTACGCAACACTAAGCAACTCTACATATTGACCCCCACGCCAATTAGTGACCCGCAAGTGTCACAAATAAAGTATTAAAAAATATGCTCATCTGACCCTAATTAAACGCCTAAAACCCCCGAGCTTTCGGGGGTTTATGGCCCCTTGAAACCTGTGGACCCCACGCCTATATTATATATACGCTCAACTCGCTGCGATCTGATCTCTCCCCCCCCCCCAACTTTGAAGAACGTAACCCCCGAGCTTTTGGGGGTTTATGGCCCCTTATAACCCGTGTACCCCACGCCTATATATATATATACACTCAACTCAGGACCCGCGGAAATCCACGGGATTCTAGAGGGGTTGCAGGCAAAAAATTAAGTTTTTCATTTCGAAGGCTCCATTTCAAGTTTTTGGGAAATTTTTCGGGGGCTACTTTTTCAACTTTCGGGGGCTCTTTTAAAGGATAGGCCTACACTTTGTTGAGATTTGTTTAGTAGGCTAAGGTTTCAGGCTTCCTACTTCATAATTGCCTATTTAAAAAAAAAAAAAAAAAATCTAGTTCAATAACTAAGTTTTCATGCATTGATTTGATGCAAGAACTGTAACATAATAGACCCTAGATTGTGATTATTTCTGACCATGAATTTCGATAATCATTTTTCAAAGTAAAATTTTCACAAGAAAATCAGACAGTCGTTTAAAAACGTAGACATTAGTAATACTTTTACTAATTCTAAGCTCAGGTTTCGTAAATCTATTCACGAAACTATATTGAAATCGCGGCAATAATGATGCAAACCAACAGATAACAATTTCAAAGTGTCAAATCTCTTCGACTCGAGCTCAGCTGAGCTGAACTCACACACACACAGCACAGCGAACTCCAGGATGCTCGAACACCGGCGCCGCAGGCGTCGGACGCCTGCGGTGCCCGGTGCCGGTGTTGGAGCATCCCGGAGTTACGCTGCACTGTGTGATGACTGAAGGCAGCTTGCGACTGAACTGTCATAGAAAGATGCTTTACTCGGGTAAGCCCGACCCTATGCATCGTGCATTTAATACGCAACTTAATGTGAGTGGATGGTCATCGGTCGTGTGTCCACGGATGTTATGTTGAATATCCATGAGGTATCTCTGTCGTCACGCATATCCTGCATTATGCATGTCGCGTCTGTTTTCGCCCTGGACGTTGACACGGAGGAGGAGCTCGGGCGGAGTATAGCCAATTCGACAGAGTAGAATCTCCCGCGGACGACGGCACCGGTCACGGTACCCGAGGGGAGGGTTCAGGAGGAGATAGCTGCACCAACTTGGGTCGGCGATCTCATTAAAAAACAATAGAATACAAAGGCCGGCGGAGACGTCATGCCCCCCGCGGAGCCTTAGCGTATTACTTACTGCGTGATATATGAAGATGCAAGGCCTCATTTTTGGGTGAGTTGGCTTGTATAGATCATTGCTTAGTATTGTAGTGTAACCGGGCTCTGCGGGGGTAGCGTTCTACCTTGCAGTCTTTCTCAGACCCCGGTCCACGCTCTTGATAATAATTCATCAACAAACTCTCAGTAGGCTCTCACAAAAATATATTGTGTAAGTAAAACGTGGACTCTCATTTCATTCACTCCCGCAACCACTAAATGTATATAGATCTATATTTGTGTCACAATTAACTACAATTATAACGCCCTCCACGTCTTACTGAATACTGGACCAATTATGCTACAGTATTAAACCTACTTTTTACATTCAGAAATGCCGAATTAGGATTTTAGATTTTGTCATTGCATTGCCCGTCGCGTCGGCCGGCCTAATTTCTAGTCATTTAATATTAATATTAAAGAAAAAAAATTACCTGCTTCGACCACAATACTGCCTGGTTTCAATTCTAATTCAATTGTCAATAAACTGATGTCTGGGAAATACAACACTTGAGTCCTATGAGGAAGATTGACGGTCCACAACTCTGGAGTAGGATGAAGCACGTACACCCATCCTTTCCCACCGACCGTCGACAGTTTCGACCCGTAACGTTTCCCGATGATTTCAGAGTGACGCAGGGCCCCGTACTTGGTTTGACTCGTGCTTCCCATAACCATCTTCAGCGGCATCATTGAATCGTGTCCAAGGAATATTATCACTTTGTCATGGGGCGAACTTTCTCCTCATATCCTAGGAAACTCATGATGATTAATAAACGAGCAAAAAACTTTAAAAATTGTGTCTTCTCGCTAGTTGTTGTGCTAATAATGCAAGAACAAGAAGATTGCACCTGCGAAGCGACGTCCGCGTGAGTAGTATGGAATGCTAAATGAGAATGGGAATATTATAAACCTCGATTAAATCGTATTTAATTTCGTGAAGATGGTAGAAAGAGAAAACAATTAGATTTTATGAATAGAAAATTAATCTCTACACAAATATGATTATTTGTTAGTGAGCATAAAAAATCGGGGTCATTATAGTGAAAATAAACAATATCATAAATTCAGGTACTAGTCGGATGTGCCCGTTTGCAATTATGAGAAATGAACATTAGACTAGTGTTCCGAGATTTATCCAAGTGAAAAAACGAATGAACGAATGAATGAATGAATAGATTATTAAATAAATAAATATTAAATAATCGATACATATATATATTATATATATATATATATATATATATATATATTCAATAATCGTTTTGTTCACATAGTCCCACGATGCGTAAACCCAAATGATGCACCTATCTAAATGGAAGTGGAAGGGGGCGGGGAGAGGCGGGGCGCGTACATGCAATGCCTCCACATTAAATAGGAACGAACTATATGCCCCTATTAGAGATATAATTTTTCTCGTTTTCAACTCTATTAAAAGACCCTTCTCTCGATAAGTCATTTTTATATAACGGGGTGTGCCCTTTTACACCAAACTCAGTATCATAGACTTCTCTACTCCAGGCACGTAGCCACGGGGGGGGGGGGGGGGGGGGGCACGTGCCCCCAAATTTTCCAAGATCGGTTGAACTTTTTTTTACCTCGATCGATTACATGTATGTGCCCCCCCCCCCAAAAAAAAAAAAAACAACAACAACAACAACATCAAACTGGCTACGTGCCTGCTCTAATCACTGATAGAAGACGCATCTTCCAATTGAACCTATAATCCATAAGGCCATGACCATCTGAATTTCACAGATTGACAAAGTAATCGACTGCCCTTTGTCAAAGAATACAGGTTTAGACAATGAATTGTGTTTTCAAAATAATGGCAACAACATTTACAATACCAAATGTCATTCATGTTAAAGCCCGTCTGTACTAGTTTGGCCAGGGGGACTAGACACCCCCCCCCACTCAGGGTACGCATATGCACGTTCCCCACTTTTGAACCCCCCCCCCCCCCCCCCCCCCCCCCCCCCCCCCCCCTAAGTCCGGTATGTAAAGTCAACACGAGCCGGATTTTCGTGTATGAAGGGGTGACCAAAGTTCGCGGACATTTTAGAACATATTACAAAATGTGATATTCGAACTACGATTTCTCATATTCTACACAAATTTATTGATTTCAATTATAACCAAAGGGACGGCGAAGTTTTTAACTACAGATTGTTCAACTAGAAAATTTTATCGTCGAAGGATTTCGGAGATATCGCGATCTAAAAATTCGATGTCCGATCGTTCGTGCGCGCTGCATCTAAAAAAGTCATAAAAACAACGAGACCTAACTTCACGCACGGGGGTTTACAGTTGATTTATCAAAAAGTGTGATCCATCAAAAATAAGGTAATATCATAATTTGCAAGGCAAGATATCATACAATCAGTTAGTACCACTCTTTACTTACAATTTTGAGGAAATCTGCTCTCAAATTGAAGATTTTCAGACCCTTATCGGTAAGTTGATCATTTTTCGGAACGGACGCAAAATATTGCAAAATTTGCCGATCTTTTGTCAATATTTTCACAATTTCGTACCCAATTCCAAAGAAAATTTCACTTCTGGGTAATTTTATGTTCCTCTTTCCATTGGTGATATCAGATTTTCGTAATCTTACTGATTTTTTGAGATAGCGAACTTAGGTCACGCGCGAACTTTGGTCACACCACCATACTACGAGCCGGCCTGTGGTGCCTGAAAAGTACCCCTTTACCTGACATTTTGGTAACACGCATGGTATCCCTCCGTTTACGGAGTGGGGGGGGGGGGAATTAGACATCCCTGCAAGGTTATCCGGCATCAAATCAGCTCTCAATTAACATAAGAAAAGGGGGATCATTGGGGCAGGGGCGGATCCAGCCGGCGACAGGGGAGGGGCCAAAGAGAGGGCCAAATTCGTGAGAAAATATTTAGCGGCGAAACAGCCAGCCGGTGAATAAGCGGGGGGCAGGGGCGGGGGGGGGGGGGGGTTAAAGAGCACTCTTTCTTTCTTTTTGCCCTCGAAAATTTGAAATTTGCACCCCCGGCTTGAGGCCCAGGGGAGGGGGCTCCCTCCCTGGATCCGCCACTGCATGGATAAACCAACAGGCACCGATTTATTGTTTGCTATATAGTACAGTAGGGCTTTAAAGAGAGACATGCTGCATGTAACCGTATACGTGCTAAGATAAGATTATTTTGGTATCATCCCTCATCATCCTGAAACAGCCTAATTTCTCATAACCTCCCTCTGGCGCTAACATGTGCTCCCCTAAATATAAAGTAATTAAAGTAATTTTCATCATTATTTTTGATGATACAGGCTATATTGTGTAATACTTATAGATGCAGGCGCGTACACAGGGGGGGGGGGGGTTTGGGGGGTTAACCCCCCCCCCTTTGGTAAATTTTTGTGTGTAAACCCCCCCTAAAATTCCCTAAAAACCCCTCCCCCCCCCCCCTTTTGGATTTTTTTTTTTTTTTTTTTAATTAAAAAAAAAAAAAAAAAAAAAAAAAAAAATTCCCATGGCCGACCTCAAAAAGATGACCTTACCCCCCCCCCAACGGAGCAAAATGTCAAATTTCGATACCAAAAAAAAAAAAAAAGTGTCCGCTTACCCCCGATATGCGATATGGTAAAAATGTAATTTCGATTTATATATTTTTTTAAGAGATATATATTCGGACACTTTAATGCTACCAAAATATGAAAATATTCGGGTATACCTCGCTGTCCCCGTCAATACAGAATTCAGAAATCTCGTTGACTAATTATGTGGGTTTTCAGGCACTTCGAATGTCACTACCTGAAATCATACTGTTTCTAAATTCTCCTTTTTTATTCTCTTTCTCCCCGCTTTCTCCTTCTTCTTCTTTCATTTTCCCGTTATTCTTTAAATTTTCACCCACCAGGGATCAAGCCTGGCCTTTATGACAAATGTTATATAGCAGGCGCGGATCCAGGATTTCTTAGGGGAGGGGGCTCAACTTTTCTTTCTTTTTTTCCTCCCGAAAATTTGAAAATCGCGCCGGCCGATAAGTCGCTCAGTGGGGGGGGGGGGGGGGGGGGGGGGGGGGGGGGGACAGAGCAATTTTTTTTTTTTTTTTTTTGCTCCCGAAAATTTGAAAAACGCGCCAGCCAAAAATTCGCTCAGTGGGGGGGGGGGGGGGGGGGGGGGGAGGGGGGGGGGAGGGGGGGGGGGGGGTGTAGTGAGCACATTTTTTTTTTTGATCCTCAAAAAAATTTCAATTTGCACCCCCCCCCCCCCCCTTGAGCGCCAAGGGGGGGCCCAACCCCCCAAAAAGGTAAAAATCACGTGATTTTACATGATTTTTTCTCAAGGGGGGGGGGGGGGCCCGGGCCCCCCGGGCCCCCCCCCCCTGGATCCGCCACTGATTATATAGTGATGTTGTATGGGTATACCAGGGATATGTGAGTTATCCCTGGGTATACTCTAAATTTGTCATAATGTTCTGGATAATTTTGTATTGCATCATTGTCCTGAAAACAGTCAAATTCCGACTATATCTACTGTTAGTCGTAAGTCATGACGTGGTCTGGTGTACGTGGTGTTGTGTACATTTGGTATTAGCACGGAGTCCGTATTAGTCATAGAGATAAGGACTCTATTAGTACAGTATATAGGCTATATAGCCAGTGGCGTAATGAGTAAAAAACTTTTGGGGTCAGAATAAAATCCGTATCACCACCTAGAAACATAATGCAGGGGCGGCGGAGCGTCTTCCAAAGTAGGGAGGGGGCACCAACACAAAAGGGCACTTTCTGGAAAAAAAAAGGGGCACCTACAAAGGGAACATCAACAAAACCTACACCATTTTTAGACATTAATGGTATATACCCCTACATCTTTATGATTGCGATTACACTACCGGAGATGATATCAATATATTTGTTTCTTTCTTTACGTGGTACTGCTTATTAAGAAACATACTTTGCAGTTGGGTGTAATGGTCTGAATATTAATTTTCGAGCGAGCAAAAAAAAATTAAGATTTGAGAGGTCCCTGTGCAAAAAATTACATCTTATAGAGAAGACAACCTAATGAAGAGAGACTTAAAAGTTCTTGTATAACATAGTTATAACATCTGGAACACATCTAGGGAAAATTATAGAAAGGGGGCTCTAAGTCGCCTTGAATTAGGGGTGCATGGTATGGAGAAAGGAAAAGTAGGCACTTATCAAAAGGGAAAAGGACAGTTATTAATATTAGAAAAGAAAAGGTGCTCGTGTCAAAGTAAAAAGGGCAATTATCAGAGCCTTCAGAGGTTAAAATGGCACTTCTTGCACTCTGAAAGGGACACTCAACAGAAATGAAAAAAGGCATTGTGAGAATGGGAAATCTGTTGAAGAAGAAGGGCACCTATCAGATTTTAATAGGGGCATTTATCAGATGTTGAAAGGGGCATTTTGAAAAGGAGGAGGGTTCATATTACAAAGGAAAAGGGGCACTTATCTGAAGGAAATATGGTACTTATTAGAAAGGAAAAGGGGCACGTGTCAAAATAGAAGGGGCACTAATTTATCGGAGATGAAAAGTGGCATTTAAGAGAAAGTGAAGGGGGTTAATTTTGATAAGGAAAAAGTACACGTATTAAAAGGGAAAATGGGCACGCGGGTCAAAGTTTTAAAAAAAGGGCAAAAATATCAGAGGTGTAAAACTAAGGGGAATTGTCTCGCACGTGAACAGACGTAGGCCTACTCACCAGAGATGAAAAGAGAGGAAAAGGACAGTTATTAGAAAAGAAAAGGAGCAATTTCCTATGTAAAAAGGGGCATTAATTGGGCGGTAACTAAAAAGTGGGGCATAGTGCCCCCCCCCCCCCCCCTCCACCGCGGGAGTGCCGCTTATATGCACGATGGGCAACAGTGAGAGAAAAAAAATCCGGAAAATCATGTCATTTCAGCAACATTTGTAAATCACTATTATCGAATTAGACATAAGCCACGTTTGAATATTATTTGGGGTCAAACTCCCCCCTCCCCCCCTCTCCCCCCCCCCCCCCCCCCCCCCCCCCCCCCCCCCCCCCCCCCCCCCCTCCCACCCCCCCCCCCCCCCCCCCCCCCCCCCCCCCCCCCCCACCCCCCCCCCCCCCCCCCCCCCCCCCCCCCCCCCCCCCCCCCCCCCCCCCCCCCCCCCCCCCCCCCCCCCCCACCCCATCAGTTCGCCAGTTTCTAACGTAGACCCTGGGAGTACAATTATTTACAGTCATGACGTAATCTTGCGCAGTGTAATTGTGTATATATTTCATCTACACCCAGGGAGAGCTATCAGTGGTTGTCGATCGAACTTGAATACGAATCCGACCGCCTTCATCATGGCGTTCACTATTCTGGGGTTTACCGTTTCATGGCCTTTGGTTGGTACATTAGTAGCCATCATTGTTGGGTAAGTTGCCTATTGTTCTGCATAATGATTATTGGTGCCATGTATTTTACTGGTTCCGGAGCTGGAGAGTCCATTTGTTATCATCATGAAGTAAGTATAGTACGCGCTCTCTACGCGGTACCCTGTAGTACGAATACGTACTAAGTCTACGATCAGGGAGGTGAGACAAACCTTCTTGCGAATTGCGTGCTGCTATACCAATCATACTTCATAGTTAACTGGTAATTTCATGTAGACAGTATAGCTTTGTGGTTAGTTCGCTAAAGTTTAAGGTGCCAGGTTAAAATGTCAGAGGTAAGACAGCAGGTCCATAACACCCCCAGGCTAGGCCCCCCCAAAAAAAAAACACTTTAAAACGTGATTAATTGTGAGACAGTAAAATGTGAACAATTTCCCTACACCTTATGTCATGTCCCCCCTCCTAGCTCCCCAGTAAAATTCTAGTTGCAGGCCTGTAAAAATGCCAGAGGTAAAAGAAATCCTTTTCTCCTGATTTTTCATTCTCATAAAGTATATATTTTATAAATGTCAGACTAGGAGGTAAAAATATAAGAGGTAAATATGTCGGAGGTATAAATTTGATGAGATACATAAATATGTCAGAGGTTAAAACTTCAGCAGTTAAAAATTTGCACTCAGGAGTTGAACTTCTAGTAGGCCGGCCTTTTTTTATTAATGTAGTACCGTACCTAAGGAATTTATTGGAATTGAATATTGATGCAGTATCAGAGACTATATTGGTTCATTTTGCCCTCCTTATCTTTTCATATTTTTTAATGAAAAAAAATAATGATCTCGTTCGGTAATCTCAATGATGTCCCTTTTACATTTTTATCTCTGAATTTTTTTACAAAAAACGTCTTTTGACACATGTATGTCTGAGAATATGATGTGCGATATGAAGGATATATAATGAAAGATGTTATGTTAAAGAGAGGCTTAGATCCTACATAAACATGATAAAAGTTAATTAAGAAAATTACATGACAAAGCATTTTATGAATTTCAAATGAAAGACACTACTATAAATCATGGTAATTAATGATATTGATGATCATGACTTAATAATGATGATGAGAGTGACAATGATAATGATAATAACAATGATTATATTAACAATAACAATTATAATAATAATAAGAAGAAGAATACAATTAATAATAATTCTAAAATTAATAATGATAATAATAATAATACCAATAATGATATGGTGATTGATAAATGATGTAGGTGATGATAATTAATGGTATTGATGACAATTATTATAACAATAATGATGATGAATAACAAATATTAGGCCTGGAATGTCATGCCACTATCAATTTCATTGACTGGTGTGGTAACCAAGAATAATCTTAAAGCATATTATGGGGGAGATATTTCTCAATAAAGAGAGATTCTGGGAGAATTTGCTGAGAGAACATTGATTTTTTTGATTTTTTAAATGATGATAAATGATAAATGATAATACATGTGTGACTAGCAATCACAGACTGAACAATTTGACCCAATATTTATTAATAATGTGATCATTTATAGAATAAATGAGATATAAAGTCTACAATGATATCAATCAAACTACTTTTTATAGTGCTGGTACACTATTGCATGTCACTGAAAACAAACAGGAATTTCAATGGAGAGGAAAAAAATGTATGAGGAAAATTATGAGATCAATATGAAATGAAAGAATTTGGTCCAACCTATATATTTTAATCCTTTTCATCAGTTTCTTCAATTTATTTTTTAGGTTTTCATACAGTATTCTAAGCATGGCTGACAGGTCACATACCGGTACTCTTATAGCAGTGGTCTCGTAATCATACTGTCAAAGGTTTGCACCTCTTGAAACCTCCTGCCAACTCCACTGATTACATAACATCTACACATATTTACTTGCTTGCTTAGCAATTGCATTCAGGTAAAAATTAACCCAGTGCTCCTGATAAGTATTGATTCTTTCATGTAGTAAGATCCTAGATGTATAACAACAAACGATTTTGTGTTGTCATGTACATGTAGCAGGTTTTAAGCTCCTTTTTAATCTTTTAATCCAATTAGGTATGAAATTTGGCATATGACATATTTCAAACGGAAAGGAATCAAGGGGCCAACTCCTTATCCTGTTGTGGGCAACTCGCTTGATATGTTTCAAGTAAGTATATAGAGAAACAGTGGTTTCTGTAGTCTTGAATACAATAATTTGTTACAATAACAATTTTCAGCTCTGGCTGACTCTGAAGGTACAGGCATAATAATAAAAATAATAATAATAATGTTTAATTTTCCCCACAATGTTTAAACCCTTGTTATGTCGTAGGCATTCTGTGCAAAACAAGTGACAAGAGAGCTGAAATGGTCTTTCTTTTAAATGAGTAAATTAATTACTGAGCTTGAACTTTGTTGGAAGAGATCAGTTCTGATGACAGCTGAAGCAGGTTCATATTAATTGATAACATGTAGGAGGTAATAGTGTTATGAGAAATCTGACAAGTCTGACATATAGGAATAAGTGAGAGTTACAATTCCCATTCATTTAAATCTACTGTGTTTTATTTCACAGGGAATTCATTGGACGACTCAAGACTATGTCAAAAAGTATGGAAATGTCTTTGGGTAAGTATTTTGTTTTCTTTTACAAACATTGCTAAAGGTGAATCTAGAGCCGGGAGCTTCTCCTTCCTTATAAGAAAAGGATCAACATGAAATACAAGCCTACTTTTGGAATATATGTGAAAATATATTTTTTATCATCATTTTTTTCTAGATAAAACAGTTCTTACAGTCATCTTTTCAAATGTAACAATGGTTCTTTCTTCTTCAAAGTGATTTAAATTTGTAAAATTATAATGCATTTTGTTTTAAAAATTGCATAAGTTAGAAAAAAAAATTATTTGTCAAAATGTTAATTTTTTCTAACAACCCTTCTCACCAACATGTCTAGTGTCTGTTATCTAAAGTCCATTGAATGTTATAATGTTCTGAACATTTCACATTTCCAGCATGTTCATGTTTTCATCGCCTGTGTTCTTCATAAGTGACCTTGAAATGGTGAAGGATATCACAGTCAAGAGTTTCAGCAAATTCATGAACCACAAGGTAACTTTCTAGAATGGAACCTCTACATACATGTAGGCCCACAGCTTGGAAGACTAATGGTCATAGTCAAGTTACGTGGTCTGAAATTCTGTGAGACAATTATCTCACTTTTACCATAAGGATGCAAGGTGGATGAATTTATTTTCAAAACTGCCTCCATATAGTAGAACTTGGATTTTTTGTGGTTAGAAATTGATGCTATGGAACTTTTATGAGTTTTGCTCAATCTATACCAATTTCTTTCTTCTCCTTCTTTTAGTTTTTAATTTTCTATCACCTGTCCTTTTATTTCTTTTAAAACAACTAGAATGGATTATTTTTGGTATAGGATTATTCAGCCTGCTTGGAAATCATTGTTTGGTAATATATTGCTCGGATTACAAAACTAATAAATTAGCTTGATGATGTCATTGATTTAATATTTGGATAATTCTATCTTAAAATGATTCATGTTTCTTCTTTCAGACATTTGTGTTGAAGTCTCGGCCATTTGACAAGGCATTAACAGGCTTAAAAGATCAGCACTGGAAGGATGTGAGAAATGTCATTACACCAACCTTTAGCGCAGTCAAGATGAAACAGGTATCTTTTGATGGAATAACATATATGGTGCAACAAAAATCTGATGTAAAGGGTATCTGATACAGAATTATTTCTAGCCTACGTCTGTCTGTACAGAAATTGTTTCGAAAGTGTTTTGTGGTCATCAATTTGGAATAAAATAAAGAAACATTGGTCAATTGTCATATCACATGATATTTTATTTCTAATACTTTTATTAATGAAACAAATGGGAAAAGGCAAATTATAGGTTTTTTTCAGACCCAACTCCTGATTTTGAAAAAGGAAATTAACACAAGGTCAGTTTGTGCAGTGCATTATTCATCTGAATTTTGTGGAAAATGTTTATATCATGTATTAGGAAATGGAAGGCATGATACTTCGTTTCTCTATTGGAAGTTGAAGTAATTTTATTATATGATCGTGGCATATAGATCTGTAAAACAACCTTTATATTGCGTACCTTTTATCTTTGTGAATCCCATCATGCAGCTGTCGGTATTACTCAATGAATCCAGTGACACTTTGGTAAAAAACTTTGGAGCGATTCAGGAGAAGGATGGCAAGGTGAAAGTATTTGGGTAAGCTCATGATAAATCATTGCAATGTGAAACCTTGAATAGTCCATCTTTTTTTTAATGAACTCTTTCGTTGCATATATGCTTCCAAACAGCACCAAATCCTTAACGAGTAGTTTTTTTTTCTCTGTCTTTATTAAGCCTATTAGGTGAATTGAAGAGTTTGTGATTCTTTAATGTTCAAGTCTAAACAAACTTTGATGATTTTGATACTCTGTTTAGCTCTATGGGTGTGTGGCTTGACTCAGAACTAGCTCAACTGGCCAGTTTGAGAAATTGGTGATACATTTGGAGGGCTTGACACAATTCAACACACCTGTCATCCACTAGCCAGACATACATGTAGAACAAGTATCAGATAATGACAGGTCATGACAAATCATAAGCCAGTGAATGCTTACTTGATTTTGAAGTTATTTAAGTCCAATTGCAACTTGTCATAACCAAGTTGTAGTCCCTATGAAATTAAGTATGGTTTCTCACTTTCCCATTTTTGTTCTTTAGTTTATTTGAAGCCTTCACAATGGATGGAATTGCCAAGTGTGCATTTGGAATACAAGTAGATTCACAGAACGACCCCAGTGATCCGTTTGTCACCAATGCTAAGGACTTGATGAAGAATAGGTTCTCTTTGAGTACTATGATTGCTGGTGAGTTGAAATAGCATCCTAATTAAACCAACTTCAGCTAGGATGAAAAGTATATTGACTATTAATAGCTCATTCTTTAATGTAATGAATTATTGAAATTAAAAGAAAATGTTAGATGATCACTATGATGGGATCATCATTGTTTTGGGCCCAGAACACATGGTACAATACACAAAAGACCTTGTGTAGTCAATGTGGACACCCTTCCTCTGAAACAGGGCACCTGATTTTCATGTATATTCATCATGCATCCTAGTGCAATCAAATATGATTTAGTACCCCACATTTGTTAAGCTTATGATACATTTTCTTTATCATTAGATTCTTTTTTATTATTTCAAGTAACATTGCCTAAATGACTTTTATTTAGTATATTTTATGCTAAATTAAGGGTATATCTTTAATGATTACAGAGTATACTCTGTATTGTAAAAAAAAGGGATGGGTGAATATTTTACTTTGAATCAATCACTGATCATCCGCGGTAGATGTGCCATCATATTTAAAGTTCCTTTATAATGACAAGATATTGCCATGGGGTGCATTTTTCATATTCCAAACATTTTCTTTTTGGAGCACATAGAAATATTTGAAATTACCAACAGTTGAATTGAGTGTTATCATTCAAAATTGAATGCTGTAGATATTGCTTCAGTTTTAATCGTGATAGTGATCCCTTGGTGTTTGTTTCTTTTTGTCAGTAACATTCCCTAGAATTGGCAAAATAATGGATTACTATGGAGTCAGCACAATGTCACCTAAAATTTCGAGCTTTTTCATATCTGTGGTTGATCAAGCTATTGCTGCTCGCAAGGAGAGTGGAGGCTCAAAGGTATCTATCTGTATGATATATCTGTAAAGCACTTAGACACATCGTTGATGTATTAAGCGCTATAAAAAAGCTGAATATTATTATTTTCATTATAGCTTGGAAAGGACTAAATGTATCTTGATAGATTTACATGTCCATGATAAAATGGGTTTTGTTCTGTAAATAATGTTTTAATGGTTGTGTACTTAATCTTGAAACAGCATTTTTTTAAATTTGTTAAATTGATAAAGAATTTGCAAAAATGGGTCTTTACAGTTATAGTTGTGTTTTAGATCTGATTAGCTAATACAATTTCTGTATGAGGTTCAGATTATTAGGGCATTCATAAGACCATAAGGAAGTGCCAGTGGAATGTATTCTTAGTTAATCAGTAAACACCACTGTGCTTCCTCTGTGGTGATGTATCAATAAAGCCTCTAACTCTCATACTAGATATACTGGGTTCACTCCTTGCTTGGTGCTTACACAAATTCCTTGGGCAATTGTTCTGCCCTCATTTGTCCCTCTCTTCTCAATTCAATACTTATTTCAGAAATAAAAGTGTTTTACTCAGTTTGGGGAATAGACAAAATACTTAGCCACAATTTGTTATTCAGTTGACTCTTTTGGCTAAGCTTACATACTCTTTTCAAAGTTGAAGACAGCTCCCAAGCAGACTTAAGCCTAGTATTATGGAGGCCTTGATTAGCAGGGATATGGTTTTCATACGCATTCATCAAAAGCTGTGCACAATTATAGCATTCATTTATGATGCATTAATTGTGAATTATTGGATCGACCGTGTGACATCACAATGCTAATCAATAAGTAGTTTGCCTTAAAGTCAGCTTGCTAAAGTAAAAATGCTTCTATGTGGTTTTTATATGAAATAAGTCATTTTACTTAGCCGTACCAATGCTAAGCAAATACTGGCTTCATCCACATATTGAATATAGCCCAGGTACTTCCAGTGCTTTCCTCATATCAACAATAATATGATACAAACTTATTATATTCTCACCATTATATTCCTTGAATTATGCTGTGTCCTTTTAATAGATGAAAGACTTCCTTCAGCTCATGTTGAATGCAGCGCAGGAGAACAAATCAGAGAAGGAGATGATAGAAGAGAAACCGCAGGATGAGAAAGTAGAAGGTGATCTCCATGCTTTGATTGAAGACCAGGACAACAAAAGCTACTTTGATTTGAAGAAGAGTAAGAAGACAACTCTGACAAAGGATGAGATATACGGACAGGTATGATTGTATCGTGCTATTCTCCATCAATATACTAGACCGGTAGTCCATTCAAATTCTTTTAGAAAAATCCTTGTCCCATTTTTAGCATATTTATATTCATCAAGTCAGTCATGTTTCAATATATTTTTCTACTTTTGACATACCAAAGATATTTTCTGACTGTTTTTCCAATTGTCTTTTACAGTCAGATCATAGTGAGTTTCTAGGGGGGGGGGGGGGGGGGGGGGATTACACCATATCTGCCAGTCCAGTTCTCCCAGATGGCAAAATGATAACTCCTTCTGTTTGGTTTTATGACTCATAAGTGACCGGTCTTACGTAATGTACTTGGAAGATTCCATCCTGGGAGGAACGTTTTTTTAAATAAATCGATCTCCCAACCAAATTAAATGCTCTCTATATAAATATATTTGGCCATGCACTCAGTTGTTCTAAGGACTTTTTGCTTTGTGAGATTTTACTTTATATACAGTAATTTGGAATTCTACCTAGTCTGCTGTGAGTGAACTACGACACATAGAAACTCCTAAAGTTGGCACTTAATTGCAAAATAGTATAGTATTAATGACTGCTTTGAGAGAAATAGTTGTTTTATTACGCTCAAGGGAAGGTTAGAATTGTGCTATTCCCGAGGCTTGCCGAGGGGAATAGCCCAATTGTAACCTTCCCGAGAGCGTAATAAAACAACTATTTCTCGAATATTAAAGCAGTCATTAATACTTTTATATGCTGAAAAAAAATAGACTAAAAAATAAAAATTAAAAAATAATTTACATTTTTGTCGAAGACGGGATTCGAACTCTTGCGTACAACAAGAGGTGTATCGGAAACCAACGCTTAGACCACTCGGCTATCGCGCGTCGTTAACATGCTTGGCAGTTTTCTCCAATATATACATTAAAATGGATTGAAAACGGCTCCGCGTGAGGGATGCTTCGCAAAAGCTCCATGAAACGGACCCTTCTTTTACTTTTGCAATGCATATTGGCACGAACTTAGATCAAGATCTATCGGCAGATGTTGTTTTTTTGTTTTTGAGAGTTAATTTTCGTCTTCATGTCAACAATGCAAGATAAAATTGTCGGTAAGATCGATCGAGATTCAATTGTATTGAAATTGCCGACCAATTTTTCGCACACGTATGGTATCCTCCATCGCTCAAACCATTTTTTAACATGTAAACCTATGGGGTAACCATGGAGACTGACCTATTTTTTTAATAACCATGGTTATTAAAAATATTGAAATGTTTTATGCATGGTTACCGGGAATTTTACAGGAACAGTTGAAGTTTATGAATGCAATTCGACCAATCAGATGGCTGGATTTCTTAAGTGAGGTATATAATGTATGTTAGCAGCTCTCTCCTTTGCATTTACTAGGCTATAATCTTCTTTCTGGCTGGGTATGAAACCATCAACACAACGCTCGGTTTCCTGACCTATTCCCTGGCTACTAATCCTGAGGTTCAAGACAAACTCATTGAAGAAATTGATAACGAAACCCCAACTAGAGAGGACGTTGGCTATAACTCCATTGCAAAGATGTCCTATCTGGACAACGTTGTTTGTGAGATTCTTCGGCTCTATCCTGCAGGCGTTATGTGAGTATTATAGAAAAATATAAACTGCCTGGAGAATCAAACTATGATTAAATCTACAAAGTCAAGGTAACATCAGTAGTATAGAGATATCGACGGCTTCGAGAGGCCTGGCTGTTTTATATGCTAACGAGAACGCCCGCACATCTTGCCATGACCCAGAGGCCATGAAAAGATGTGCAAGTTCTCGAGAGCCTATAAATCAGCCAGACCTCAAATATTAAAGCAGTCGATACGTCTTTTATATGCCAAATTCAAACAAAAATCTACCAAGAATTCTTACCTTAGCCTTTTATTGAGTAAAGATTGGTTAAAAAATCACGGAAAATCTGAGAAACTGTCCGTTTATTTTTGCCGGGAAATAATGACTGAAATCAGTTGGGAATCGCAGACAAAAAGCACTGTATGGTGTCCACGTAGCTCGCTCAAAGAACATTTTAACACGTAAACCAATGGGTATAGCAGCAAAATTTAACTATTTGCATGCATGGTAACTGGAATTTTGAGGGATCTCATTATTGGACTATTAACCGGCTTTGGCATTTTTTGTTTCTTTACGGGAATGGCTAAAAACACGACCCCAATTTTGACCAATCAGATGGCTGGATTTCTTTAGTGAGGTATATAAAGAAGAATATAAACTGTCTTGAGAAACTATGATTAAATCTACAAAGTCAAGATAACAACAGTAGTACTGTATAGTCGGCAAAATAGACAAGGCAAGGTACCCATTACACCTGGATGGACGGAGTGTGGTAAATGTACATTAGATTATTGTCTTACCAGCACAGGACATTAGCGCTATTGCAGAGAATTGAACCCTGCACCTTGTGATCTCTAGTTTATTGATGTATCCTCTTTACTGCATTACCTCTATTCATATTTCAGAGTTGAACGACAGTGTAATGAAACCCATGTCTGCAATGGCCTCACCATCCCTAAAGATAGTCAAGTCATGTTCCCTGTCTTTGCCATCCATCGTGACCCTGCAATCTGGCCCGATCCAGAGAAGTTTGACCCGGAAAGGTAAGTTTTTAACTATAGATGTGCATGTAGAGGAGGCTACTAGACTTGGGTTGAGAGGAGGTAACTATAGGGGGAAAGTTAGAGAGAGAGATTCTGTCATTCAGTTGGGAAGTTTCTTGACTTTCCATATGCACTGATCTCTGTAGATGCAAGTTAACTCTGGTTGAAGATCAAGGTTTTGTTTTAATCAAGATGATTGAATTTAAAGAATGTGAATAGATTTTGTAAGTACTTCGTGACATTTTGCTCATATTTTATACTTACTGCAAAAATGATCCTGAATCACTTTTTACACTTGAGGTGACATATGGTTCGGGTGTAGAGGTTAATGGGGGTTATTTTAGGGGGCTAATGTATCTGTGAGTCTGAGATAATCTGAATTTAACCTATTTACTAATTGCATTAAATGGTTGTAAAAAAGTAGCAAAGCCATCACCAGTAAAGAAGAGATAGTTATCTCGCCATAAGCCATGCTCGTACATAGATTATGTTCATGGAGCCCCGAAAATAATTCTCTCCAGTAAAGATTGTATGTGTGGGAGGGAGCTATTTGGAGCTCCGTGAACTGACCTACGAGCAAACCTATGTGTGTGTGTGTGTCACAACTATCTCCTTATTCTAGTTATGAGCACAACTATCATTGGGTGTTAAGAACAATCTCTATGTATTCATCTCCATTATGTAGGTTCACTAAAGAGAATCGGGAGGGGCGCCACCCCTTGGCCTGGATGCCATTCGGTGCTGGTCCTAGGAACTGCATCGGGATGAGGTTTGCTCTGATGGAGATCAAGATGGCCACCGTTCGTCTTCTCCAGAAGTACCGATTTGAGACCTGCCCAGAGACTCAGGTAGGATATAACTTCACTTTCATGCCTCATTCAGACATAGTACCGTAAACCACCTCAACAAAATCAATTTTTTTACAAGTAAAGTGTATAAGTGGCAAAGGGGAGGGTAAATGAGATTCCTAGTGTACTTCATTAGCTCTGTGTTATCAGGTACACAAATGTGAAGTGCACAATAATTATTTCTTGTTAATATACCACAGCAATTTATTGAGGCAGTTAATACTGCCTTGAAGGTTGCAATTAATTTGTATGCAGATTAAGTTCCTTTTTTATTTAGTGTAAATGTCATACAAACTTTAATATGCTGTGTAGATGTCTTTATTGTTCACGAATATCAATTTTGTAAATATGCTATGTTTTTTTAGTTAATGTATTGTTGTTGTTTTTTCATATAAAATAAAAGAAACTGAACTGAAACTGAAACTGATATGGATTACCAGAGTTTATTTATAGTTACCAGTAGTTTGTAGTCATATTCTTGAGTTTTATTTTGTATTCCTCCTCCTAATATCTCCCTCCTCCATTGCTCACAGATCCCCCCGAAATTTGCCAAAATGAGCCTCAAACCCGACGATGATTTGTATCTTCGTGTTGTGGAGAGAAGCTAGACCAAAGGAACAAGAATGTAGGTACAAGAGTCACAATACTCTCGGAATGGTATTGATCATACCATTAAGGACAGGATATGGTTATAGGATAAATGAATTAGCTTTGATTCTTTAAATTGGCAGCACATCTTCTTGTACTGTTTCATCAACATGAAAAGAAAAATATTTTATTGTAATCGAAACTTATTTCAAAGAAAAGTATAGCAATACAGAAATGTGCACATGTACAAATATAATAATCATAACAGGTCCATGAACCTATTCAGTTTCCAGGCAGGGTATTTGTGTTTTTACATCAAAATCTTTCTGATGAATGAAAGCTACATTTGATAAATGTGATACAAATAACTATACATGTATTTGATTATTCCTATTTTGTCATTATTTTTTATTATGTAACTTTTGTATGGTAGTGAAACTCAGAAATTTCATAATGAAATCTTAGTGATTTTAAGCGTCATCCATTATTAAATTAGCTACATATACCGGTATATGAATGAACCATGTGTGGTATATTTGTTTCTGCTTCTATTTTTTGTGCTTATTGTAGCCATATTGATCATCATATGCTGTATATGCCAAGTAGATATTGAGGTCAAATACATAATGGCCTTATGTAATTAAAGTAATATGTTCTCAATAGGTATTTTATCAATTAATCTACAGGGGAGTTCTTCTGATATCAGATTTCATTTCTTACAAAGAAGCTTCGGAACCTATTACTGTAACATTTCACACACAAGATCTGAATGATAAATTTATAACACTTGCCAAGTTTCACAGGGTTTGTACATATCTACAAAAGGGACTTACTGCCTTTATATCCTTGTCGGCTTTTCGTGTATGTGTAGTAGATTATTTTCACAATTTCATTGCATTTATTTTAGGTTTTAGCACTGCGCGTTAAAGTAGCATTGATTTTTAGAAGTAATTCCGATACCTTGAAGCTATAATCCTCACATACAGATGTATTTGAAAATTCCATATGACAGTCTAACTTCTAAAAGCTTGTGCATTCTATCATTGGTAAATCACTATATTGACTAATCTTTTTGGTTATTAAAGGTAGACTTTACTACTTCAGCCAGAAGGGATTAGACCACACAGCGAGCCAGCGAGGTCACTGTGACAGGTGGCCATCTCATTAAGTCAGCTCTCATTCAACATAAGAAAAAGAGGATTATGGGGGACCAACAGGCACCGATTGGGGAAGTTTTCTATATAGAGGGAGCAAGTAGTAACAAGTAGGACAGTGTGCCTTTAAATGTGGTGTTCCTGTCAACGATATTGAAGTCACAAATCAAATTAAGATTAACAACTTGATACCAAGTACTATATATATTAAATTGTCTTCTTTCTTGTATCATTACCTGGGCATTTTAGCATTCAACAGTATGCTGGGGATGCACTTCATAAAAGTAGGATGGCATTACCGAAACTTGGGGGGGGGGAACCATATCAAATGTGGATTGAAAAGTTAGATGAAATAGTGGAAGGGGACATGGTGATACCCCCTCAAAACTGGATTAATGCATTACATATTTATAAGGTTCCCTTTGGATCATATGATGACTTGTTTTACATGTACTGAGCAAGTGAGCAAAATTTCACACTGAGAATACATGCTGAAAGCCTCTGGCTGTGTTTTATGTATTGCCTTTTGCAGGCTATGGAGCAGGGGTCAATCAAATGATATAAAGTGTAAACAAAATCAAGACATTAGATTTTCATGTAAGTTAAATGTCATCTTTAGTGTGCATTGGACATTTTATGTACTTGAATGAAATGAAATTTCTTGCTTTGAATACATGCCAAAAGTGTCTGGCTGTGTTTTATGTATTGCCTTTTGCAGGCTAGGGAGCAGGGGTCATCAAATGAAATAAAATGTAAACAAAATCAAGACATTAGATTTGCATGTAAGTTAAATGTCATCTTTAGTGTGCATTGGACATTTTATGTACTTGAATGAATATATATATATATATATATATATTATAATTAAATTTATCTTTCTATGAAGGCTAAATTTTCACCAAAGATGTAAACTAACAAAAATGCTTGATTTTCATATAATAAATACACATGAAATTATGTTATTGTATGTGTTGTAATTTTTACAAGCAATATTTTTCCATTCAGAGAGATGCACATGAAAGTGAGTGTTAAATACCTGGTAGAGGAGCATAATTAGCAAGGAAATTCCTTATTAAAGGAAAAGCCAACCTTAAAAGTACAGTTGAGTTCTTGTTTAAGACTGCAAATGCCACCAAAGTGCATGGTTATTGCTCTTATTCTTATTTATGACAATTTTAGTTCCATGTTAGGACCTAAAATTGCTATGAAGGTAATTTTAGACCCAAAAATGTGTGAAATTTAGATTAAATCAGATCATACCAATTAAGCTTAAAAACTTCAAAAACACGTATTTTCGCTTCAGAATATTTTCAATCATACATTCCGTTGCAAATGTTTTTATTCCACCCCTGTATGCAAAAAATCTATTCTGTAATCAATAACCAAGAAAATAAGAATTAATTAAATTTCTGTAGGGAAAATTGGAGAGGAGCACGGGTGATTTGCCAATTTGTGTTTCATTGATGACAACTTCAAAAATTCATAGCTTTCCTATTCTTAATCAGATTTTTGCTGAATCTTTCACTCCTTTTTCTGATTTTATCAAAACCAAGATAATATTCCTTTTTAAAGAATTCCCCTGCTTGCTCCTTTCTTTCAGGAACGAAGGATTGCATGTGCACAGTTTAAGTGTGGCCCAGTGTCCATGCCCTTATAGAGAATACAGCACCTTAAGGCCTAGTCCATATGCTGTGGGTATAGCCTTTGTGGTTTGGTTGCAACTGACTGACCAACATATACAATGTACACAAAGAAGACAGGCAGGAATCAAAGAGTTGAGGGCACATTGAACGAACAATGCATTTTTTTATTGATTGATTTCATTTTGCAATGCTTTAATACACATTAAGCACATTGCAAATAAAGCCAATTTTTTTCCAAAAGTTTCTTTCAAAGATTGTCGGGTTCCAGAAGAAGAAAAAAATTAAGTTCAGGGGCAAGAGAAATACCTCAGTTTTTACAGCAAAATTAAAAACAAAAGTATCATTTCAGCAAAGATAGAAACAAAAATTACAATAGTAAAGAAATGTACACTGCCACATCACATTACTGATGTGATTATACCACTCCTACTGGCATTATCAGCGAGAAATAAAAGCCCTATACTTAATTATACAATGAGAAATACTGCATGTATTTAAACCATATCTAAGCATCTTAAGATTGTCCAATAAATGGCACTTCCAAAAGTCAATTAGTTGTAAACATGGTACGAAAAAGCTCTTCAATACATACTGGGCTATATTAGAATCTTCTCATATTCTGAACAAATCACTAAAACATACACTCCACACGCAAATAATGACACTTTTCTTAAAAATGAAAGATTAATTTTAACAAGCAAATGGAAGTTGACAAAGCAGTGAATGACATATACATTCAATTTATCAAAAGAATTTAGTATTTACTGTCTAAAGCACACATACAAATTTGAAATGTGAGGTACCCCACCCCCTTCCATCAATACAATCTGTTCTAGTGCCAGAGAAGTGATTTTCATGTAACGATAATAAGACCGCAAATGTTGATTCATTAATTACACATAACTTTGATGAGCATTGTACAGTTTGACTGGAATTACACAAACACTTTGTAACCAAACATTTTCAACACAAGGGAATACACTTGACAGCAGAGAGTTATATTATTTCATCAATTCACTTATGATACAATGTACAATTATCAATTATACAATATATCTGTGAAGTTGCTTAATGAGTTCCGCTACAGATCACTCGAGCTAAAAGCATATCATACACTATACACTACTCGTCAACTGAACTACATGAATTGAATTTCATTCTATGCATACATATCTAATTGAATCAAAGTGAAAAGCTAGGTATCTCAATTTACATTGAAAACTAATTTACATGTTGACTAAAGGTCTTGCATTGCACTGTACACCATAATAAACGATACTGTGAATCAACTAGTTCCTAAGCCTAAAGGTAATCAAAGAGTTCAAGAAATAAGTAGGTATGGAGAAATCATTTCAACATATTCCAACAAAATTTTCCACCAAATTGTACTACATATACAATATCCGCCAAATGAATTCAACAAAAAGTTGTGATTCCGAATTCATAAACCAAATAAATCTGGAATAGTGTGAGTCTGTAAGGCTCATGACAGATCATGACCAATAAGTACTATATACTGTCCCATATGAGCATATATACAATGCAATTTTGTTTTGGTGTATGCATGTTTTCAATCTTTTTATTTATATTCATTTATATTTTGCTGATCTAAATGACCCAACAATACATCTGGATCCCTTTAATACATGATCAATGCACACTGAGAATAACCTTTCATGTTTACTCATGAAATGCAGTTTTACTGCAAGTACCCCAGATTACCTTTAAGAAGAAAAGTTTAAGTAGATTAAGTACAACCTTCCTCAAAACGTAGATCATGGAAACCATCCGAAAAGGGAACTCAATATTCTCCTACCCTTTTCTTCATACTGATAATGATTGACCTCTGTTAGCCATTAGCAAAAGCTCCATGAAGAAATTAATCAATGCTACATTTTAAGGGATTAAATCACTTTTAAAGGAAACATGAAGTTTATTTACATCATACCACCTATTGTTTTTGTAATATCAGTCATCAATCAAGAAACCAGACAGATAACTTCATCAGACTCTCTTTGTAAACTATTATAAAGACTAAATCATTCCATCATGACTCATTAGTATAAATCAATTGTTGCTGAAAAGTTATTTCAACTGAAACATCACTATAATTCCTGTTTTATTTCAATGTTGAAAGAGGTTAATTAAATAAACATGTTTATCTAACTTTTTTTAAATCATCAAAAACTACATAATGTTTGATTTGCTTTAAGCAATTTAAATTCATGAATTGTCTTAAAATTATATAAAAAAGCTGATGAATCGGACAAAACTTGAATCAAATTCCAAATAAGTGTCAAGAAACCCCTTATGAAAAATCAATACAAAATGATGTACATGTGCGTATACATTATCAAACAAAACCTGTCAGTCCACACAAGTAACAATTCAAATCCCTCCTCTCAAAGCAAATCATCTGATGAAGCTACTCTCGCTATCAAAATAGCAACATCAACTGACAAGGAGCCACAATAATCAAATTATTGAACTGAGATATAAACTTGTTCTGGTGATGAAATTTAGCCTTATGCAAACCAACGGCAGAGGTGCAAACACAAACAGAGTTATGCATTCCGAAAGAATCTTTGCTGTTTGGTTTGGCGAATACCATTTATACACATGGGCTGCTCCGATGCAAGTATTCACTTTCCGGTCCCGAAAACTATTACCAACTTTGCGCTATAACAGCAGTCATGCCGGGAGGAGGATGTTAGTTTGTATGTGTTAGGAGCAGTAAAAGCATGTTAAATAACAAGATTAGGCTGATAAAACAAGATTCTTATCATTGATCTCATATTACCTGCTTGCCATATTCAGTATGAACAAACATGTAACTTCTATACTTTATCAAAGAAATCTCTGCATAATCCATTGCTCTTTACTCATGTCCCAAATTACATCTCAGAATGAAAGTTGACATCGACATAAAACTGTTACTTTCAATCTGTTTTGCACTGTACTTGTAGCTCATATATAATTTGACACAATTTTTATACTGTGTGTTTCAGAAGTGGGTTAGGGTTAGCTTTAGATAAGTTATAATTGTCTTTAATACTATGGCACAGCATTCCATTCAACGTGTATAACTGGCAAGAGATCTTTGTGATCCATTGGTTGGGAATTTCATGTACATAAGATTAACGGCATGTTGTGATATAATGTGGATAATAGGCAAGAGATCTTTGTGATTCATTGGTTGGTTGGGAGTTTCATGAACATGGGACTAACGGCATGTTGTGATATAATGACTTCTTGTTATATGGTGTGCTAGGATAGCTCTCTTCTGCCACACAGGTCTAGATTTCTTCTTCTATTCAACAAACTTGAGCTTTTTAGTCCTCTTTCTTCTTGAGCCATGGAATCTTGGTCTTGATGCTGCAAAAAATCAATTTCAAAAATATAATCAAAAGAATGGTGACAACAAATTTAAAATAAAATGAGATTCATACTATGTGATCCTCTTCCATACAAAGAACAAATGCATAAGATAAGATGATAAGTGTTTTATTCATAACAATTACTTATGAATATATAATAGCATGGTAATGCACATAACTTGTAATGTTTTCAATTGTTTCACTGGATCACCTTTTAAAAGTTCTATTATTAAATTAAAAAAAGAAATATAAGTACAAGTTATTACAACATATTTGTTAATTCACTTAAAGCTAGGAACAATAACTTACTTGGTAAGAGCCGTGTTGATCTGCTCTTGTGCCTTTCCTACAGCATCATCAATCTGAGCCTGAATGATGGATGGAGAAGGAAGAAACATCAATCACAGATGTCAACAAGGAGATGAAACAGAAGAAATCAATTTGAGGGAGAGCAGAAATAAAGGACAATCAACCCCACAAACAAACAAACAAACAAAATAAAGAGAAAAGAACTGGTCCATCCCACACATGGTTCTAATCAGTTAATGAGAACACTGTTCATCCATCCATGTCGTGAGGAGAGGACCATGGCTGTATCACAAAGAAGATCCATAGAAATCTGACACATTGACTGTATAGAATCCCAAAACAATTAGAAGCTACAACAATACTTATGTTCGAATTAAACAATGCCATTATTCTGAATAATTCCTTACATTAATCAAAACCTTCATTTTCCTTCTAAGAACATTATATTATCTCTTAACATTATGACTACTAACAAGCCTTAGTTTTATAGCCGTAACAGAATATTTTATCATATTTGGAAACAAATACATGATAAAACTGAATAACTATTGACAGTAATTATACGTGTACTTACCTGGTACTTCTCATAGACGACAGGCATAGAAAAGAGTCCAATGTAGGCTGTATATAGAAAGAGACAGGACATGATATATGTTGAACAAAGTAAATAACACAAGATAAACATTATAAAACAAAGTATTTTTAATGGACAGAATGTTCTACATTATAAGTTTCCAATGTGAGTTGAAAAGCATAATAATAGTGTTCAGACCAATATTTATCAATCTAATGCTCTTTCAGCCACGGCTCCATAACCGTCATATGAGAGAAATCTATCTTACATGTATAACTAGCTATGTAATGCCCACATCCTATCTCCATGTCCATGTGTTCAATCAGTAATTGGATTAATAATCTAGCCTGGATCTACCTGGCAACAGCATTCAGTAGCTTCACGTACATTGATCTGCTAGTTGTAGCAAGTAATACTGAAGAATTAAGCCAAAGTCAAAGCATTTATACTGTACCAACTTCAAAAATGTCTATCCAAATAATATGCATAGTTTGAAGTGTACAAAAAGAACAAAGTGTCATGTAATGTTTAGTTACATAATTTATCATTCATGGGACAGGAGAAGTATCAAACTGACAGTACATGGTCAAAATTACATTTCATTTCATTCTCCATAAAAACATACAAACATGATAAACAGATAAAAGATTGATTACAAGAAAAATGCAAAGGGAAGGAGCAAACAAAATTCTATGTGAATGTGGGGTTAACAAAAAGGGCAATTAGCCTTATGAACGTCAACCCTGTTCTGTAAAATTCTGTTAAATGAAATCTGTTTCTTTTACACATATTCAAAATGATTTCCAATTATATAATTGTAATATATCTGTGTCTTCAGTTTCGCTCCTTAGAACTAGACATTTTTTAAAAATTCAATTGAATTAAGATACATGCAGTATCAATGGAAAAACAATTTTGAACATCATAGCTAGATTTGAAATAAGAGATGGATTTTGTGATTAAATATTTACCGGACACATTCAATATCAATGAACTATCTGGAATCAGGGTTATCAGGCACAGTGTGGGTGAGAAAGAATTGAATTACATCCGTGTAACCCTAGAACTAGTAATATGATAGATGTGTGTTCCAAGCTCTCGTTAACATTGTATGGAAAACAGGGACTGCAGTTAATATCTTCTGCAAATTAGAACTCTTTCGATGAAATTGTCATGGATTCATCGAATGAGATATTCAGAAAATAATAGTATAATTGATTTCGGATAATCAAATTTAGTTCCATGTCTCAACTAGATCAAATGATATTATTAGAGATTATAAAATAACTAATTCAATGCTGAGAACAGTGATCAAATTTTCAGATAACTGATAAAATGTCCATTTTCCAGTTTAAGTTTAGTTGTGGACCTAAGAATAAATGGCAACTAGATTTTTTTTCTTCTCCCCTACCCTAAACCATATTGGCCTATCCATCCTCCATATGAAGCAAGAAATAAGAATGTTTTTCAATAAAATACTTTATTTATATGAGTTATCTGTCTAATGTATCATGTTACAAACATCTTTATGTTTTTGTTTTTTGTTGTAAATGTTATGATCAGACCATTATTCCCCCAAACGTATGAAAACAATCACATGTCATTATTTCTCATAATTCAGCAGGGGTGAAGAGTCACTTCTCTTCTGGGATTGATAATGACATGTCATTTGTAGACAGTTCATACAGAGTTCATAGTTATGTCTTCAGTTAACACATGGTTAAAGAGGCTGGTTACTATGAGAGCACATTTCATCTTGCTGCTATTCTGACCCGGCCTGTTAAACGAAATGTGCAGGAATCCAGTCCCTCACTTTAAAACAAGTGTTTAATTAATTTATTTTTAATCCAGAAGCTTTGACACTCCCCTCTTCACCCCTGTAGAGTGATTTGATAAACAACAATGCATTTATCATTATTAGACTGGAATTAAAAGATAAATGAATGTGACTGTACTAAGTTCTAAAAATCTATTTATTTTCTAGTTCCAACAATATGAGGAATCTATGAAATCTACCGCACTAACTTGTATGTAATAAGTACGAATTCCATGTCTGGTTTGATTATCAGATCTTATTTGGTTTACCCAGTACAACATAGTGACCTACCAAGGATGATGAGAGTGAGTCCATTGAACCAAGCACCAACATAGGTGAGAAGCCACAAACCAACAGCAAACTAGACAAGGAAAAAAACGAATTTCTGAGTTAGTTTAATAGAAGTAATTGTCATGTTTCATGAGATGCAATATATTTGCAGAGCTGCATTTCACAATTAATTTACCTTCTCACTCCTGTGACAATTAGTCAAACTGTGTTTGATGCCAAAACCCCATATCTGCATATATTAACTCAATCTATACACTTACAAGGACTCCAATGGTGTCTTCATGCATAATCTAAAACAAATCCTCTGTAAATATAGTCTTCGCAGTAGATAGTTCAGACCCTAAGCTACATGTGAGGAATGACAAGGGTTCCCTGCAAATTAATGATTGACATAATTACATAAAACTCTTGCCTGCCTTTTTACCTGCCTTTTTACCTTTTACCTTAAGTAAAGCAGATGTTTGGAGTCATAATAACGTGTTATGCAAGCGGATTTTATTCTCTCTTTCCCGTACCTACATTCTTGTCTTTTCTTGCTCAGCTTTCTTCATTCCTTTTCTCATCTTACTCTGCTATCTCCTCTTACCTTTGTCAGAATGTATTCAACTGTTTGTTAATCTAATTGATGTATTTGTCTTGTGCACATTTATGTATTTGTATGGTATTCACTGTTATCTCCTGCCAGTGGAGGCCAAATTTCTGTGTTTTTTAACATGGACAATAAAATCTGAATCTGAATCTGAAAGCCTCTCTGACACTGTCAGATGGCTTTTGAGTGTCTTACCTTAATGGAGTCAACCAGATCCTCCACCAGGAGCAGGTGTCGGAGTGATGTGATGCACACATTGATCTTCTGCACAGCTTTCTTGCTGTACGACTCAATCTGGTCCTCTGACAGAGTTACATCAATCTCTAGGTAGGGCCTGGTAGAAAACAATCAATACATATAGAATTGATAAGTACCAAAGAATCACAAAGATGAAGAATTACTATGACTTCCCCGCGATAAAGAGACAAAAATAAGAAGAAGAATGAGAAGAAGAAGAAGGAGGATAAACAGGAGGTGGAGGATATAAAGGAAGTGGGGAAAAGGAAGGAAAAGAAGGAGGGGTGATAGAAAGAAGATAAAGAAAGACAATAGGAGAAGAAGAACAATATGATGATAATGCACTGATGATAGCGATGGTGATGGCAACCCTGAAATGGCCATACACTCTTAATATAATCATTTTTCGAGTGGGACAGGTCATAGGGGTAAATTTTCTTAAAAGGCCCATTAAATCAAAAAGTTTTAGTGTTGCAGCAATTGGCATTATTCCGTAAAATTGAACCAGAATAATTTCCATCTTTAAAGGAAAAACAACTCAAAGTCTGCAGAATATTAAATCAACATGTTATGACAGAGGAAAATCCACATTATTCAGTTACCTCCCAAAGGTAGTATACATTACACCAGTCTTCAGCAGAGCTGGACAATTTCCAAGTTTCTCTAATGCTGATGGTCGACCACCAACACAAACAAGAACACAACCACACACCATGGGCTATTTTTATCACAATTGCAGAACATTTTGAAAAGGGAATGGTGGTCTACCATTGTTTTTTTTTCAACACTCCTAACAACATTCATTGACATGTGAAGTGGTTTTCTATTTTGCTTCTGCAGTTCTTTTACTGTCCTTTTTAATACAAGGTAATATATTCCTTCATTTGTGAATGGGGCTTTTGTGTAAATGTTCACATTTTCAAAGACATATATTTAAGTACTACAGGGCACCTAAATGTAAAATGTATTTGAGATTCAATTACCGGTATACCTCTAAGTTACTGTATCAGATAAATGCTGATACAACTGTTAATATATTGTGAATGCATTCCATCAAAGCAAAGCTACCTAATGCTTTTTTCATACCATGATAAATAGATAAACAGAGGTACCATGACCATAAAGACTTTTAAAAACATCAACCAAATGCAAATGTCCATAGCCTAGTGCATCACTTCTTGAAATGTGTGGACGTAACAATGACAAAGCTAAACACAGTCTCTACATGTACATGCAATATAGTAGAGTTATGAAATTCCCAGAGTTTATGATTTCTTTAAAAACTTTGCAATACCAGGGGGTGTTTCACAAAGATCCTAAGTAGAACTTAACACTAAGTTTGACTTAAAAATTATGGACAGCCATTGGAGCCTTAAAATGAAATATACTCAAAAGCAGAAATTCAAGTATTTTAGACATTTTATAAATTCCACAACAAGAATATGAAATCTCCTTAATGATAGAAAATATGAATGATTTGAATAAACATTTTATGCCTTTCAAAAATATTTTTACCAAATATTTTCAAAGATGCTAATGGCTTTCCATAATTTTTAAGTCCAACTTAGAGTTAAGTTCTACTTAGGATCTTTGTGAAACACCCCCCAGGTAATAATAGCTAGTTCTTATATAGCGCTTTTCAGGAGTGAAGGCCCTCTCAAAGCGCTTTACAGATATATCATTACCCCGTCTTAGTCATGAAGAGTTTGTACCATCATTTCACTATCACATTGCTTGTCATTAACATTTTATTTACCCGGTATTATTGGAGAGTTGATATAGAGTTATAGACAATAAAAGGAAAGGGAAGATTTCCTTACTTAAACGGGCTTCCTTCATCGCTCTTCTGCACGGCGGCCAGAACAGTCTTGTAGACTCTGAAGCTGATGGTGACAGTGAGTGCAGCTAGGAGTAGGTAGGCCAGCACACTGATGAAGGAGAAGAGACTCAGGGCGATCAACACGAAGAGCATACTGCCAAAGACCACTCCGGACTTCTTGAGATCCCTCCAGTAAACCAGGTCCACAACTAAGCATTTCAAGATAGGGAATAAACATCATGTTAGATAATAAGCTTCACAGTTTAAAATTCATTTACATATATATATGTAAAGCAATGGGTACAGAAGAATGCAGCTGTAGAGTGATGCTGTAATAAATCCACTCAAGCTTGCTGTAAATGAAATATGAATTTAGTAATTTCTCCTTTCAGAAATGCATGATTTTTTGTCAGATGTGAACTCATGTAAAAGCAGTTGAAGGCAGTTTTTGTAGAGTGGACAGATGAGATATTGAACTACCTAAAAAAAGATAGCATTAGGATTGAAAGAAATCATTCCATACTGCATGGTAAAACACCAACAAAAAATAATCTGTTTCTATTTTTTTGTTCTTAATTAGATATTTTAGTGATTAAAAGTATAACTACAGAGAATCACTAATTCCTAATCTGTTATGATTATCGACAAAATTCAAAATTAAGATTTGCCATGAGGATTACACTCAGGTTTATACTGTTTAAAATAGGATTTCCTTTGTTCACTACATACATACACAAACACTTACATCGTCTTCCGTTATCCTTAATGAAGTTAATGGCACCTTGTCTCTATGATATAGAAGGTTCACACTTTTTCTTCTCATTCTAACCTATTTAATCTATTAATCAAATTAAATTAAAATTGAAAGGCAAAGTCTGCAAACTATTACTATTTGTCACACATTCAACCTTTTCACATTCAACTCATAAATAAAACACATCTAACTTTATGCTACATAAACACCTAAAATAAATGAACCACTTACATGAAAAATAAACTTGACCATATAAAATATTAAACTGACACATAATCAAACTCTTCTGACTTCATCTACAGTAAGTCAATAAATTCACTTCAACAGAAGAAAATTAATATAAAAAACTAATAAAAATTATTTTTGAAAAACCTCTACTAATCACTAATACTGTTAAAATAAATCAAATTAAATTCGCTGCCAAAGGCATGCAAACAGATATATAACAATATTCAACTATTGATACATACTTTAATAAACAGAGTCTGCAACACCTTCATGCTTTTGATGTCCAGAGTACATGTACTAATACCTCAACGAAATAAACTGAAATTTACATCTACAACATGTTGTCAACAAACATGAAGTATTTTGGTAACCAATAATGATAACATGTGTACACATTTGTAGATATTAATGTAATTATATCACTGAAGACCAAGAAATTTACAATATCCTTGTGTGATGATTGCTTTGCGGTAATATCCTTTACACTACTCAATTCCTGACTTCAACCCTGGGCCCAACATCGGAACTAACCCTAACCATATCCAGAAGATTACACCTAAAGCTCAATCACAACCCTAACTCTATAGGTTTGCCAAGATAAACCCAGAGGAATTGTCAGATCCCTGTTATTACATGTCTTCCTTAGAGTTCAAACTTCATGGGACTGTGTGTACAGAGAGAAGTGTAGCAGAAAAAGACAAGCAAGCCGTTTGCTCCTGGAGTGAGATGTGACTCCGGTAGAGGAATCCTTGCCTTCAGCATGTCATGACACCAACTGAATGAAAGCTATGCAGAGAGGAAATACCTACTGTTTGACTGCTAATCCACTGCATACTTCAAGCAATTGATCATGAATTATCAGTCATATACTGTATCAAGTGAAATTCTCCACATGTTGGTGGACATTTCAGGTTTTAATTTAAGTCATTGGAAAATTGGAAATAGTTTTTTTATCTTGCCTTTTTAAAAACAATATTCCTGCATTTCTTTCATTTCATTGATTTTTTTCTTTTTGGTTCTTACATTGTTATCATTGTATGAAATCATAGATGTCAACATCATTAAGAGCTAGGTTCTACAGTAGATAGCTCATATGAATGATTATATATTTCAGAATTGGTCTATTAAGGTTATGAAAATAAATGGCCGCTTGATGACTCAGGTCCAGCTCATTATGAATCAGATTTGGTTTTCCAGTAATATGTCCACCTAATCAGGAATATAACACACTCCTGTACAATAACAAATCTTAACATCTGATATCTTCCCATTATGACACAGAGAAGGGTGAAGATCCATGGATTTAGTTGGCTTGAGAGCACATATGTTCTTCATCAGTTGATTACACAGTAGGCGCATTTATACTGTCAAATACCTCATTTTGAAAAGTCGCGATGTTTCGTGCACCCGGTTACACTTGTGCTGAAACATCACCGACGGAGCTGTTCAGCGATGTTTTGGCGTGTTTCGGTTGGTAATGCGCATGTGCAGTCTTCCCGACCTTTGACCCCGGCCTGCTATAAGATTTTTAGCGCGCGCAATTTCCAGCTAGCGCTATAGCTAGCTAAATAGCGATACATCCCATGCGCATGCATGCGATATGTTTTGTTTATCTCGCGTGTAGTATTTGAGGCAAGAGTGGATAAGTTACGAAGTACGGACTACGGCTGCTGATTCAGTTTTCCCAAATTCAATCGAAATCTAGTAGTAAAAACGATATGGGAAGGTTAAGAAAATCATCGTTGTTAATTGTTAATTTCATGCTTTCACTCATTTCTCTGAAGCCCTTTTCCCCACGTTTGCAGGGACGCTTGGAAGTCTGGTGGAGGAGCTCTCCCTGCCTCCACATCGAAATCAAGAACTTCATCTCATCATCAGTCCAATGGGAATTGTTCACTTCCATATTAATTAATCTAACAAAACACTCAAATACTACTACTAGACAGATATGGCCAGACGGGAATAACGAAGATTGAATAAAGGATGAGTTAACGGAATTGGAACAAACGGAGCTGAATGAACGGATAACACGCGCGACGATGGAAATGCTATAAATATCACACGGGAAGAACGTGGTTTAAAAGAGCGCGGGTAACAATCCGGAAGTGCCAGAAGTCACGTGCCTAACATCGCGATGTTACAACTGCGAGCGGTTATACTTGCCAAACACGCCAAAACACGCCAAAACACGCCAAAAGATCACACTTCGTTTTGGAATGTTTGGGGCTTGGCATGTCTGCCGGTAAAGCGTAGTTGCCCTTGGTAACATCGCGGCCAGGCTCCGGTTTGGCATTTTTTGGCGTGTTTGGATGACAGTGTAACTGCCCCTAGTGAGAAGGATGATTCATGCCATGGATGGAGGACGAGGGGGAGAGGAGGGCAGAGATTTCCAACTCCATGTCATTTAGGTATTGATTGAAGAAGTAAAATTGGTGCATAGATCAATGAACTGAGAGAGAGAGAGAGACAGCCAAATAGAGAGACAGACAGAGAGAATGAGAGAGAAAAAGATTATATAGAGAGAGAGAGAAAGAAAGACAAAAAGAGAGACACACATACAGAGAGAGAGAGAGAGAGGGGGGGGGGGAGAGTCAGATTAGGATGAGATTGTTTACATATCAGACTACTCATAAATTTCTCCAGTTCCAATATAAAACATGATAGCTATCATCCTCCATGTCAATTTTTAATACTGTCATAGAAACTGTTTGACCAATTACAGACATGTACATCTGCAATTGTTTATTTTGTTTCCTATATATATATCAACTGATAATTTAGTCACCGCATTCTGCAGATTCTCAATTCTTTTTTTGGTAATCCAATTTGAATACTAGTACAAGTTATTAATTATTCTTAAAAAGTACATTCATTAAATACTGGCATGTACAGGTGTATGATGAAAAATGCAGTACATGTGCTATGGTGTGATTTATGTCAAACCTTTTAAAACGCCAATGAAAAGCAAATCTCGCTGAGGAATATCTTTATAAAATGGCTATGTACGTGTATTCAAGAATGAGGCTATGAAGTATGAAGCAGAAGTTGCTTTAGTGTTTGAGTACTACTATGATGGAACTTTTAATGACAGTCAAATACATTACAGAGAAATTAATTAATTGGTGAGAAAAGCATTGAGAAAAAGAAGAAAACAAGCACAGGAAGAAAATATATGTATATTTTGCAAAGATGTTCACTGTTTCTTATCTGCACATACATATTCTATGTTTGCAAGCTTAACATAGTTTGATGGCCTTGCATCACACATCTGATGCAGAGATGCCAACTTTTGGAAATCAGAAATAGGGAGGATTTGTAATCGACACCAATTAATGTGCGCGTAGCGCACATCTCGAGCGCGTAGCGCCCGACACATGCGGCCGGGGTCCAGGGCCCGCCTTAGGGCCCTGGAAGCTCTGGGGTTCTAGATGCTCTCTGGTGCAATCTGAGCCTTATTTTGGAGCATTTTACATGTGTATTTAGTTAAATAATTCCCCTTTTTTTTTAAATAACATAAAAATTGTACAAAATGCATGATGAATTACTTTCAGACTTCCGATTACACAGGTACTTGATACTGTATTCGGTCTTATACTTCCGAGACCATTTCCTGGTCTTATTTTGCTGATTTTCCGCCATTTGGATTCTGTGGCAATATCCACGCATTGGTTACGGCGATCCATATGCTGAAACAATCTTTCGCTACTCTTAATTTGTCTTTTAACATAGTGGAATTATTACATGCTTAAGTTAGCAGATGATATTTCTCTTTCAATTCACAGATATATATACTGATAAGCGCCCTCCAAAAAAATCATAATAAAAAAAAAAAAAAAAAAAAAAAAAAAAAAAATCATTTTTTTTTTTTTTTTTTTTTAATAAATCGGGAGGATAAGGATGGTGATCGTAAGGTCGGGAGTTGGGGTGAATTATCGGGAGCCTCCCGATAAAATCGGGAGGGTTGGCATCTCTGCTGATGATGTATCGGGGGTGGAGAAGAACAGATAAACATACAGTATATCATACAGTCTCTACAGGATGAGTCATATATCATCTTTCTCACTCCTCTGACTAATTAAACCGGAGTATAATGGACAAAGGGCCAATTATTCATGATCCTATTAAATTGGTCTAGAGCTCTCTCTCTCTCTGCCAGTTTTGTTGTATTCTGGGTGTTTCATCAATACCTTACATTTCCAATTACCTACAAATATTTCATTCCTAGAA